CTCTTTTTTTTTAGTAAATGTAAACAAACAGAAACTATTATGGGTGATATATAATAAATAAAAACATCTGTGAGCTGAGTCTGTATCAAACTTTAAAGTCAAGATGTGTTTTTTTACTATTTATTTAAGGGGGGGAAAAAATCATGTTTCTGTCATCGGTGTTAAGTTTTTAATGCACGATCTTAATCTTTATCCAAGACTCCTTTCTTCTTACAATACTGGAGCTAAACTTGTAAAAAATAAAGAGTTTAAAATATTCTTATTTATTGATTTATTCTAAATGATTAAAACTGTTTTTTCTTTGTGGTCTCATTCTCCGACATAAAGCAGACTGAATAACTTGATATTTAAAGTAACAGTTACTGAACACCAGATCAATAATATCTTTGAATTGGTGCATGATGAACCCCATTAGGGCTTAGACCTTATCTACATTCCAATTGGGATTTGGAAATCTGGGTTTTGACTTAAAGAACAAGATTCCAGATACAAGCCTTTGAAATTAGTGTCCTTCTCACGGTTTTAGGGCACTACCTTGAAAAAAAACGGGTGAGTTCTGTCATCCGGGAGAGGCTCAGAGTAGAGGAGTCAGCTCAGGTGACTCGGACATCCGTTTCAGAAACCCCCTGTATGCCTCCTTTGGGAGGAATTCCAGGCCCACCTGAATGCCCACCTAAATGCCTCAGTCTTTCACCAATACAACTGGAGGTGTTGTCTAGAGAAAAGGAAGTTTGGGTGTCTGCTTAAAGTCCTGCCTCCACCACACGGTCCAAGAACAGCAGAAGACCATTACTACGATATTGAAATGAATACATTTAAACTAAAATAAATTAAAGCCACAATATAATCACACAATTCTCAATTATAAATAATATACCAAAAAAAATAGCTTATTTTTTTGGTTTGCTATCAAAGATGTATTTTTTATGAAAACTCTCCTTATATGTACCTAATATGTCAAGAATCAAAGAATAATGTGATTCGATACAAAATTGCTACGGGTCCACTCTCATTTACCAAGGCCGTGACAAGCTAATCCACATATGAAATATTAGCAGCCTAATAAGATAAAATTAAAAAAGTTTGCATATTGACAGTTTAGAAACCACACAGAGAATATTTTTTGCAACTGTCTTAGAAACGCACTGACCTGTATTTTTAGGGATGCTGTTGGTCTGGTGAGTTGTTATTTTCCAAAAGTGGACCCAGTTAACCAGACAGGGACTAGAGCAACGCTCTAAGGCTAAGTTAACCAGCCTTTTTTAAGGCTGAGAGCTACTTCATGGGTACAGTCATAGGAAACAAAGGGGGGAACAAAGGAGTCAAATGTCCCGGGACAGAGGGGGGCCCAAAACTGACACTCATACCATCAAAAATACAAGCAGAAGTAATTTTTCAAAAACGTTTGTGTTAAAAATATTAGAATAATATTAGAGTTACTAATTAATTATATATATTTATATATATATATATATATATATATATAGATATATATATATAGATATATATATATATATAAATAGGTGCAGTTGTAGAGGGGGGTCCAAAATACTCACTTCCATGGCCACAGGTGTAAGAATAATCAAGGACCTATGCATGCAGACTTTTTACAAACATTTGTGAAAGAATTGGGCACTCTCAGGAGCTCAATGAATTCCAGTTTGGAACTGTGATAGGATAGCATCTGTGCAAAAAATCCAGAGGTAAAATGTCCTTGCTTATAAAAATATTCAATAATCAACCTTTCAGCTGTACCATAAGAAAATTGAGGTGTTGGAATAGCATCAACACAGCAACAAAGTGGTAGGCCATATAAACTGACAGAGCAGAGTGAGCGGATGCTGAAGTGCAAAGCTGTTGCCAATTTTCTGCAGAGTAAATCACTACACAGCTCCAAACTTCATGCGGTGTTCACATTAGCTCAAGAGAGCTGCAGAGAGAGTTCATGGAATGAGTTTCAAAGGTTGAGCAGGTTCCTCCGATTCATACATCATCAAGTGTAATGTATAGCCTTGGATGCAGTTGTGAAAAGGACGCCACCACAGAGCACTGGAGACATGTTCTCTGCAGTGACCAATCGCACTTCTTCATCTAGAAATCGGTTGGAAGACTCTGGGTTTGGTTCTTGCCAAGAGAACGGTACTTGTCTTAATGCATTGTGCCAAGTGTAAAGTTTGGTGGGGGAGGGGTTATGGTGTGGGGTTGTTTTTCAGTAGCTGGGCTTGGCCCCGTTCAAATGAAAGGAACTTTGAATACTTCAGCGAACTAAGATATTTTGATCAATGTTATGCTCGGAACAGTTTGGAGCTGGCCTCTTCCTCTTCCATTTTTACTGTGCATCAGTACACAAATAATGGTCTATAAAATATGGTTGGTAGTCTGGTGTGGATAAACTTCCCTGGCCTGCACAGAGAAAAATTAGAGGGGAAAATAAATGGACTTCTGGAAGATAGGTAAAAAAAATCCCATAAACACACTCCCAAAACTTGTGGACAGCCAACTTAGAAGAGATGAAACTGTTCTAGCTGCAAAGGATGGACCAATATCACATTAAACCCTGGTGGATTAGGTAAAGGATGTCACTTAAACTGAGCCAGATGAGCTTTTGCCAATACGTAAGAGGTTCTAATGCATAATTATGTTGCACCAGTACTTTTAACACACTGGGGTTTTTAATGCCTATGATTTTGAGGTGGAGTGACATTAAACATTTCAGTGTAGTCTAGATTCAATTCCCCACATCACTATCTGCATCCCCAGTTTTCCATGCCTCCAAAATAAGCATACACATGGGTCATAATTTGCAAAGGGAATGGAAACATTTATCATCAAGATAATTTTTAAACTCAAGATAACAGCCATATCATGGAAATTGAAGTATGCATGTTTCAGGCCCTGTTCTGTGCATATACAAACTTCATAGCACCAATTGCCAATGCTAGGGCTGGATAGATATAAACTCATCAAGAATGGTTTTAAAATAATATATATTTTTAGGAAGTAATATCCAATAATGATGATGACGGAACATAATCTATGTATGCATTGAATAAAATCTTGTTGTACTGAAGCTAACAGGTAAATTCTAGGTTTTAAAAGTTTGAGGCTGGACCCAAAGTAAGCAATAAGTCTGTGATAGTGGGAAAGAAATAAGTCCAAGGAGAGGAACTGGTTTTGTTCCAAAGGCAATGAGACAAACAGTGTGCATCTAAAACATACCTAGATGTAAACAAGGAACCTAAAATAGCAGCTCATTTTCCGGGAGATTACTCTGCAGCATTGTGTATCCTTTTACTCTGCTTCATTGTATGTTAATGATTTTTGCTTGTGTGCACAGAAAAATAAGGAAAATGTCTCCAGTTCTTCGTGTGACTCTATCTTTCATATTTGAACCGTGGTTCAAGAATTTGTGCATACATGAATGTGCACGTCTGTAATTATCTTGTGTGTGCGTCTATGCACAAGCTTGACAGGAATGGAAGTGGGCGGAACAGAGAACTGACACAGGCCCAGCGGGCCACAGAGCAGGAAGTAGGCCAGAGGGGGATTAAATGGCTGCTGCGCCACTTCCTCCATCACCCTAGAGCCATATGATGCTGTACAATCAGTGTGTTGGTGTGTGTGTATGGGTGAGAGGGAGATGGAGAAAGCCGAGCCCCTGCAGTCACAGTGCACTCCACTGCCTCTACTTAAGTGCAAAGATATGACATCATGAGCTTCAGAGAGAAATATATTTGTATGTATGTGGGTGTGAATATATCTCTCCAAGCCAAGTTTCATGTCTCGGGATGCAATAACCCTAAAAGCCACTTTTACTGTAAAGTCTGTAGCTCAGCCGAGCTAAGACTTGCATTCAATAGTATGAAACAAATGATAACTGGAAAAATCAATAATTTTTACACCATTGTTGCAATGTGTCTAAATATATTATCAAGAATATGTCAATTGCATATCTGAATGCATTCAAAATGGGTTTTAAACAAAGCTTGTGACCCCTGACTCACTTTGTGCAACAAAGACTTCAGCATGCCCTTACACATACCATGTGAAATTAGAAACACTTACCTTCAAATGGGCTCAAAATGATCAACACATATATATGTGTGTTTTGCTTTCCAAGTGTGACAACTTTGCTAAGGCCTGTGATATAAATATTTCTGTCAAGATCTTAAGTAAATTCCCAGGAACTCTCAAGCTGTTTACATTTAGTCTGCTTCAGCATCAATAAGGGATAAAAATAAAATCACCTGCTCCAACATAGCACCTTCAAGCTGTGCCAAAATCTTCTCCATCAAAAAGAAATGTATTTAAAGGAGTCAAACTAGGATTTTACACCCACAACCTTATGTGTCAGTTATGATGGTAGTAGCATCTAATTAGGGTACCTGTGTGTAATAGTGTTCATGAAATAATGGAGGGCAGATAGAGGGCAGCTACCTCCAGAATTTTCGACTGTACCACCAATCAACAGCAATTGTAAACTGTTTAAACATAATGGCATTTTCCTACAAGACAATTATCCACCACTTATCTAGACTGGGTTTCAAATAGAAATGGACCAACCTATGGAAAACGTATGGAACATGGTTCAAAGTTGTGTTTGTGTCAAGAAGTAGCTTGTCTAAACTCTACTAATTCCATAAAGAATAGTAGAAACAGATTCTGCCAAAATGATGCTTTAAGTGTGTCGATGTTTACAAATCGCTTCTTGTTGAAGCTCAACTCGCTAAGGAACGACTTACTGGTTGTTAACATATTGACCAATCCAGAGAGAACAAAGCACTATAATAATCAATTTGATGCTTTGTATTCATCTGCATTGTAACCAATGCCACAGTTTTTAAGAATAACTCAGAAAAAGTAATGTTTCAGGCTGAAGTGAATTTCCACACAAATGGCAGTGCAGTCAGGTTTGGTCTACAAGGTTACACATTTTTTTTTGTTTCCCTGATTGAAATTCAGCAGCATCACATTTTATCTAAGTGAGCATGCTACATTACCTCCTTGAGACAGCCCATGAAGTTGTTGCTAACAGGAGATCCCGGCAGGTCGGCGGTGCTGGGGCTCCCACCCACATAGAAGAAGTCGTCTGAGCCCAGCATGGTGTAGTCCTCCTGGGTGTAGCCCGTGGTTGTCAGAATCCCATCCACAGATATCGTCACCTGATGATCACAAAGGAGCAAAAAAAAAAAAATTCCGTTAAAGTTTTCTTTAAGTTCATAGAATCAACTTTTCAATTGGAAATGTATCTAAATAAAACATTTCCAAATTCATAGGAAAGCTCATTAACAAGTGAACTGAAGGACACAAGTCGACTGAAAGATATAAAGAGTTTGTGCTCAATCCAAACCAAGCATGGCATGCAGAATAAAAGACAGAAAATCCCACAGTAGATCGGAGAGGAAAACAAATGAAAGCTGGACTTCCAAACATAAATAATATACATAATTATGAAGTTTCATTAAAACTAAATAGACATTTAAACATTTTTTGCAGAAAAAGAAATTAAGGTAATACTTTTTCAACCAGTGACTAGTTTTACGTATGTTATTTTTGATAACATAACTTTAAAATTAATAATTTATATTTAAACACATGATGAACAGTCTTACCATAAGGATGGAAGACATTAAGATATTGAATACTTTCCTTGGTTATACATCAGTAGCCATGAAACTCAACATGTCAGTAGATTTCCTGTTTCATGTCCTTCTGACAATGCATTTTTAACAAAGAAAATACATTTTTCCTTATCTTTTTCCTGAGGGGAAACAACATCAACCACCAACCATACAAATGTAGCTATGTAATATAATGATTGTTGTTGTCTTGTAAAATCATTTCATCAGGACGTTGTAAATATTTGCTAAGTTTAAATTAAATAAGAGAAAAAATTATAGCAATCACTGATCTGAAGAAATCAAGCTAGACATCACATTTAGATTTTGTATATTCAAGTATAGACATTTGGATGTTAGATATAAAATGGCATAACAATGATTGGAGAAGAAAGGGATGATAACGTCAGCACCTGTTCATTTTATTTTGCTGGTGCTATTTTCAGCGAAGACTAGCCAGAAATCAAACAAGAAGAAAAGAAGAAGTAGACGGCAAACTAAGGAAAGAGAATGAGATAAATGATATCTACCATGCAATGGAGTTTGTTTACCAAGTCGGGTCCATTGCCTGTGAGCTTGGCAGAAAGGCGTAAGATAGGGGTTAATGAAATAATAATAAAAAATAAATAATGTGCATCTGGACAATGAAATCTGTGCAGTGATGAGTGAATACCAAAGCAAAACGGAAATGCAATGATGGATCTAACCAGAACAAAACAGGGTTCTAAAAACCTGCTGTTGGTCAACCTACTCCACCCATGCAACTTACCTGTCGCAGGTTCCGGGTCACTTTCACATCGTGCCACGTGTTGTCGTTGAATTTCCCACTGACCGGCTCCACGATGGCCTCAAATGCTCCTGAGCCCAGATTGATGACAAGGGAGACTGCACCATCCTTCAGAGCCAGGTTGACATAGTCGGCTGACTTTCCCGTATGCAGGATAAGGCCGTTACGTTGCCACGTCTTAAAGGACAGTGTGATCTCATCGCTGCTGCTCTGGATGGGGTTTTGGGAGAGGTCGTAACAGAAGTACTCTGATCCACGGAAGGTGGCGACGTTTTCTTCCCTTGCTGTGTTTGGAAGATATAGAATTGGGATCAGTAGGACTTTAAATGTATTTTAAATTACTGCACAAACAAACTCTTTTTTTGAGATTCTATGGTACCTAGGGCCTTTAATAAAAACAATTAAAAAGGAAACATGCAGAAAGTAGGAAGGAAGCCACACAACATAGGTCCAAACTTCAAGAACAGGCCTTAAAGAGGTATTATGCCCCTTGAGCTTCTTAACATTTTGTGAAAATACAAATGTAAACTCTAGAAACAATGAGGTATTTCAGTAGCACTACTGCAGAGAGGAGGGACCCACACCAAGCTATCAAGGTTGTGCAGTGCACTAGGACAGACCTCTCACATGTGAACCTACACTATCCAGGCAAGATGAAGGAGAAGGCAAAGAGCAACATTGAAAAGAGTACCCTGTGTTTGAACTGCTGCCTTCTCGTGAAAGGTTCAGAAGCAGAAAACAATGAGCATTGAGACCCAAAAAGTACTTTTAATTCTACATTTGTGATTTCAATGACTGTAACATTCAACACAGTGAACACTTGACTGCAAACATGACACAGACAAAGGCAGACTTCTGAAGGAAATTTGTATAAAGTAACTATCAATGCCAATGCACAGTGACCAAAACCCTTTATCCATTCATTCAGAATGAATTCAAGTAATGCACATCCATCCATCCATCCATCCATCCATCCATCCATCCATCCATCCATCCATCCATCCATCCATCCATCCAAAGGGAGGAAAATAAGTATTTAAACACCTCGCTATTTTTCAAGTTCTCCCACTTATAAATCAAGGAGGGGTCTGAAATTGTCATTGTACTGTAGGTGCATGTTCACTGTGAGAGACATAATCTAAAAAAAAATAAAACATTTCCCGAAATCGCAATGTATGATTTCTTTAACTATTTATTTGTATGATACAGCTGCAAAAAAGTATTTGAACAGCTGAGAAAATCAATGTTAATATTTGGTACAGTAGCGTATGTTTACAATTACAGAGGTCAAACATTTCCTGCAGTTTTTCACCAGCTTTGCACACACTATAGGAGGGATTTTGGCCCACTCCTCCAAAAAGATCTTCTCTATATCGGTGAGGTTCCTGGGCTGTCACTGAGAAACACAGAGTTTGAGCTCCCTCCAAAGATTCTCTATTGGGTTTAGGTCAGGAGACTTTCTAGGCCATGCCAGAACCTTGATATGCTTCTCCCAGAGCCATTCCTTGGTTATCCTGGCTGTGTACTTGGGGTTATTGTCATGTTGGAAGACCCAGTCTCGACCCATCTTCAATGCTCTAACTAAGGGAAGGAAGTTGTTCCCCAAAATTTCATAATACATGGCCCCGGTCATCCTCTCTTAATTACAGTGTAGTCCCCATGTCCCATGTGCAGAAAAAAAACCCCAAAAGCATGATCCTACCACCCCCATGTTTCACAGCAGGGAGGGTGTTCTCGGGATGGTACTCAACATTTTTCTTCCTGCAAACAGGGTTAGTGGAATTATGACCAAAAATTTCTATTTTGGTCATATCTGACTTTCTCCCATGACTCCTCTGGATCATCCAAATGGTCATTGGCAAACTTAAGACGGGCCTTGAAATGTGCTGGTTTAAGCATGGGAACGTTCCTTGCCATGCATGATTTCAAAACCATGACGTCTTGGTGTATTACCAACAGTAACCTTGGAAACGCTGGTCCCAGCTCATTTCAGGTCATAGACGAGCTCCTCCAGTGTAGTTCTGGGCTGATTTCTCACCTTTCTTAGGATTATTGAGACCCCAACAGGTGAGATCTTACATGGGGCCCCAGTCTGAGGGAGATTGACAGTCATGGTTAGCTTCTTCCATTATCTAATGATTACTCTAACAGTGGACATTTTTTTCACCAAGCTGCTTGATGAAAAAAGGTCACAAATCAAGACATTATTTTTTTTCAAAATAAATGTCATGATTTTAATTAAAATTTTTATTAATCATTACTTTTGTCAATTTCAACTTATTATACTGGCAGCTGATTGATTCCTGGCTTCGTGGAAGGTTATGTAAGCTTTCTAGAACAACTGTGTGTTTGCAACCAACTCTAACCTTTATCACTAACCAAATGGTTTCAGCTTTTATATTGACTGTGCTGTAACTTGAATAAGGGAAAAGAAGCAATAATCCTCTTACAATCTTTGTAAATATGATCTAAAATAAGCGTCCTGATAAAGACACCTTAAGAAATCCTCAGCACTAGACAGAAAAGACTGCTGAGAGCTATCAGAAAACAACATCAAAGAAATATTTTTTCAGTGAAATTGCCTGGCAGAGAGGAACTGCGGTGGACTGGTCATGTTTGTGATCACGCAGAGGGAAACCACAGACTCTAGATGTATTAATGACCTTGATTGAAGGGTAAGGGGAAGCAGGGAAAAAGAAAGGATCAGGGAAAGAGGGAGGGGGCAAAATAGAGCTAAGGTCTCACACAGAAAAATGGTTCACTCAGGAGTTGTTATCTGGAGCATAATCTTCAATTAACTTGCTGTCTCTTCTGCAAAAATATCGGATTTTTTGTTGAAAAAAAAAATCTAATACAATATAAGAGGGTCTGTTTCTTTGGAGTAACCTTAAAAATGAAACAACTTCTTCTGTTTCATTTGTTCATAGTCAGACCATTCCCAACTCAGTCGGTTAAATCTATTTGTTTTTGATGTGAAAACACAAAGAGAGCTTAGTGTAAAACAAATTCCAGTATTCCAGTAATAATTATGTTCTAAAAGGGGTTTTCTGAAAACAAGAATAGACACAAAGGCATCGGAAATATGTAGATTTCAAAAAATTAATCTCTGTCTTTAGAGGTAATGTTAAATAAACCTTTCTGATCATTCTTTGTGTGAAACCTAAATAAGGAAAATTCATTCTAACAAAAGATCTAACAAAATTACAATTTCTCTAAAATATTCCCAAAGATATGTGTTGAAGGGTTTTGAAAACCTTATTTTTTTCTTGGCAGAGTCTCTCATTATAAACCAACCTTAAGGAAGGAGTCAGGAGGGTGAAAGACCTTGTTAAATATATACACATAAAAGAAAAATCTTGCACAAACTTGGGACATCAGGGCACCTACTGGAGCAATGATGGGCAATGACTTGTAAACAAAGTGCACTAAACAGAGTCTAATATTGTTTATTCAAGAATAGATTATTGAGAATACTAGATGTCTTTATGGCAGCTACACAAAAATAACATTGGGCTAAGGAAGAAGAATAAGTAGGTAGGTTTACCTGCTGCACAAGACAAATGTGAAGATTTGAGAATGCAGCCTGCCAGTGATGCCCATATAGATCTTTTTAAAAATAACAGATTCAAAAAAAGAAAAAAAAGCTGAAAGCTTTACATACTTTGGGTAGTTGTTTGAGACTTAATTGATGCTGTGTGTGTTTTAAACAGAAACCCAAATTCTTGTTTGTACACACAAACTCACCAAATAAACTCATCCCTGAAAGTAGACCACTGTATGTTGTTTTTACTTACTGAATAAACACTAAAAGCAATATATAAAAAAAAGACTGTGCTGCTTGCTACTTCTGGCCTTTCTAACTTAGTACAGATACACTTGTTTGGGAAGGGCAACTTTAAATCCACCCATTTGGGATGAGGCTGGTGCACATGGTTAGCCCCAAGTTACAAACATTTGGAGGTGTGTCATTGTTGACCACCAGTGCCTAGCATACTGTTCAAAGTGTAAACCTAGCTGAAGGAACAAATCCAGGTGGGGTTCGTTCAATCGCTGACTTTTATATTAACACTGAACCTCTAGCTACATCCTACAAGGGATCCTAGGCGAAGTGTGGCCTAGTGGTTAGGGCATCTAGAGGAATCTAGAGGATATGAGTCCAAGCCCCAATCCCAAGGTCTGCCATTCTGGGTTCCCTAAGCAAGATCTTTGACCTCACACTGGCGCCGCACAATGGCAGCCCACTGCTCCCCAATGGTATGGGTTAAATGCAGAGAGTTCATTTCATGCTGTGTACTTGTGACATTGTAATGACAATAAAAAAGCTGAAAAAACACCAAAATGTTATAACATTCCAGACCTGTACGTTGAGTTCAGCGACATCAGGGTTTCTAAACATGAGTCCTAACGGCCGATTGTCCTTCATGATTTCAATCTGTCTTTGCTTCAGCAGATCTGATTCAAATGATTGCATTACTTCCTTAGCAGCCATGAAATGCTACTAAGAAAGTCTAGTAATCATCTTCATTCAGGACATGTGTGTAGAAGTTGATAAACACCTAAAGTATGCATGTTATATACCCAAGTCTCCGATTTGTCCTAGAGCGGTACCATTTTAGATTCTTAATACAAATCATTAGATTTATCCCGAAGCAAGTAGTCATTTTTTACATTTAAATTAAGCAGCAATTTTTGTCTTACAACATTTTAACAGTCAACATAAAAAATAACTTTGTATGAGCAATGTAAATTGAAATTTGGCAGATGGACTCGGGGCCTGTTCAGCTGCAGCATGTCTGCATAAATGCTTTTCATATTTGTTTAAATTAAAAAACAAAAAAAGACTCTAACAATAATAGAGTTGAATGCTTTTACATTCTATATGCATACACATTCATATGGATGCCTTCCTGCTTAAAATTCTCATTATGTTTTCATGAATACTGGACTGAATATGTAATAAATGTCAAACACACTTAGTAAGCTGTTACTAAGTAAATGACCAGACCTGTCCTGGCTATTAAAGATGCAAAACTAAGTAGTGGAATAGGAGTCTAAGCGGCTGGGAGAGAAAATGGACAGGTCTAAGGATCATGTATGGAAGAAAAATCTCTAAAGAGTAGATATGGTATACACTTATTTAATTTAGGACTTAAAAGGTAATGAACCAGATTATACAGCTTTGATTACAGTGCTAATCACCGACATTTTTTTTCAACCACAAGAAAATACATTGCAACATGAAAAAAACATAAAAATGTTTGCTCTAGCAATTCTGCATTCTTTC